TCATTAAAATTAACAAGGATATATGGAAAAAATATATGCAAGGGTTGTCCTTACATTGGGCTAAGATTATAGGCTATATTCGTCCACGTCATTAGTCCCACAAGTAATGAACTGTATCCACAGTCTCCGCAAACGTCGTCTAATGCGGTGGCGGCGATGACTGCCCCATGCCGGTCCGACATTTGCAGGCTCAACTGTATTAATCTGAATTGGAACTGCCGTTAGCACGACGGTCTGATCTCTGCCTTCATTATTCCATGCTGCCTGGGCAATTTCTCTTTCCTCTCGTTCACATGTCTCTAACTCATTAGCATGCACACGTTTGTCTTCATCATCTTTCCTCCCGGATTTCTCACCCTCCCCTTTGTTCTTTTTCCGTTTATCCTCCTTTTCTTCCGAGACCACCAACTCCGAGTCATCCTCCGCCTCTTCGTCGGCCTCCTCAATGCTTTCGAGGCTGGGGATAAAGCCCGACGTTAGTCGACTCGGGCGTACTTTATTCACCCTTTTACCTAATACAGTAAAAAATATCAGGATTAAAATTTCCTCTGTTGCGGGAATTACACGCGGAATGACGGAAATAGCTGAACTTAGATCGCCTTTGCCTCATAAGCTCACCCGGGCTTGAGGGAACCAACGTTGACGATTTCGCGAGCCAAGTTGATTCCGCCTTCGCGAAATCGAGTATATCTCGCAGATTCGAGGAGTTCTGGTCCTTACATGAGACAAAATCAGCTGTGGAATTACTATTATACCTGTAAGAAGAAAATGAGAAGAAATGCTTAAGTAACCAAAAATATTTACAAAGAGTTGTTTATATGGCCTTAATATGGGAACACAGATAACTATACATTCCGGAATACTGCGTAGAGTCACGGAAATCTCCTTAATGAAACGTTTCTGTCTCCGTACTCTGTCCAGGTGGCCAGATAAGACATTCTTACCAGCTTTTTAGACAATCAAAATAAATGAATCAAAATATGTTACTGAAACATTTCGGATACAACGAACTCACCCTATAGGAACAGAGATTGATGAACACTGAGCTAATTCTGTGATTTGTTGATTGGAATCACCATGGTTGGATAGTAGATGCCTCCACTGGCCGATAAGGGTAGGCATTTTAATTAAAATTGTAATCAGGGGGGAAAAGATATCTACAACATAAGAAAAACGAATATTGTTCGTTAAAGGTCATCAGCTTCTACCAGACATAAATGGGCTACTTCCATGACTGAAAACTGGCAAAAAACTTCTAGAATACATTATAGCACATAACAAGAAAATAGTAAGGTCTACCATTTGCATAAAGGAAGAAATACGTCAGATTCTTACCGTGCATTAGGCACTGTCGCAAACGAATAAATAGAGCAATCAGAAACGTAGAGATGAATTTCATCAGCAAACTATTCAACGCTTGAACAAGCTGGATGACTATAGTGGATGGAGTAATTTTCTCTTTGAAAAGTCCACGGAGGGGCTTCCATTGGCAGCTAAGGGCAAACATTGAACCTAAGCTTCTAGTCAGGAGAAAAACGGCACCTGCAATATGCAGAAAAGATTTTCATTTGTTAAAATCATCAGTTTCAACCTAGGCATAGGCTACCTCCATGAAATGAAATGTGTAAAAAATGCCAGCCTAAATACAAGTACATAATAAACTAAAATATTACAGCCATGGCATAAAGGAAGAAATGCGAAAGGTATTTACCTTGCATTAGGCAAGTTGGAAAACGGATGAAAATTGTAACGAGAGAAGTGAAGACGAAATTGAAAAAGAGTCGGTTGCATGAACAAGTAAGGAGACTGAGCTTGGATGATTCAGACGAGCGTCCCATCTTCCG